CAAATAAATACTTGCAGGAAACCACCACTTTGTCGGCAGATGTACCACGAACACAGAAACAACAAAAGGAAACAAAACAAATAAAAACTTCCAGAAAGAGCACTTAGTCGGCAGATGTACCACAAACACAGGCCGCGCGAACAATGGCCGGGCTAACAAAAGCCGGGCGAACAAAGACCGGGCGATCGAGTGGACGATGAGCACGTCCGCACGTGACGGGTGCCTCTATCGGAATGAGGAGCGCTTCCCTGTGTCACTGGTACATATTATCAGTGTTGTAACCCAGCATAAGCTGAAACTTTTGTACCGTAAGCAATTATTCGTTCCGGCTTCAATAGTAGATCTCAAGGTGGGTAAAATTCATCTTAATTAATGAGCACGTTATTATCACCCGCGGGTATTTGCAAGATTATGATAAGTAACAAAAAAAAACATAACAATAATCATAACTACTTCTACGGCTTAATCTCGCCTTTTTTATACCCGTGCTATTTCCGATGTTTCGAGCCATCGATGACCATGAAAACTGTAAAGTATTCAAATCCATAGATAATACACAAAAAAATATTCAAAGCGCCGGAAATAATATTTCATTTAATATGACATTTAAAAACGCGCGATTTTAACTGTAAAAAACAGTTTGAATTAAGTAATATGATTATAATTCTCGAAAACCGAAGAAAATACTCAAACTAGATAACAAATTAAATAATAGTCTTAAATAGTGTTTCTCAAACGAAAACTTTTATAATTTCCATACATGTAGGTAACATGCATTCCATTATTTTTATTGCCGTCAATTTAAAGACGCTCTAGATCGTTCGTCGCTAATTGGACAGTATTTGTTACACCGGCTCCACACGTTGGCCCCAACGTTGCTACCAACGTTGAGCGGTTAAATTGGTGAAGTATCCAAACGTTGGCTGTTATACTAGTTCCTTCCCGTCAGAGCCAACGTGAAGATGTGCAATACCGAAATTGAAATTGCTGTAAGCGCTTTTACAGTGCTGAGTGCGTATAATAAATATTTGTTATTAAAAAAAAAGAAAAAAACAATGTCAAAGGAGATGGTGGATGACATCGCGACATGCACACTCGACCCATGTTGCAACAGGACTGAGCAAAGTGCAAACTGAAGCAAAGCACCAACATGGGGACGGATCGCGAACGTTGGTACGTTTGATAAAACCGATACTCGACGGCCAACTACCAACAATCGCTTCAACGTTGGGGCTAATGCTATTTTCTAGATCCACACGTTGGGCGAGTGGCGTTGGTGCCTATGTTGGGGCCAACGTGTGGAGCCGGCGTTACGTATTGCACTAGTCCACGTGAATCTGACCGTGGCAGTGACTCATGCGTTCATTCACGAGTCAAATAAACGAAAGCGACGCGGTCTAGTCGTTGCCATGTTCCCGCGCATTTTACCTGTGTTCTTTGTTATTTACGCGGCAAAATGTACCTTACGAACAGGTTAGTTTACAATCTTTAAACACGAATCAATTTTGTTACGTTCATTATTAAGATGAAGATTAAAGATATTTATTTTAATATTCGATGTTTAACGTCGTCTCTGGATTTTGATAAATGTACATATTTATTTAAAAAGAAACTCGCGATTATCTCTGTACTAAAAATACAAAATGTGTTACTTATGATGAGAAACAATTCAATCGTTTTAGTTATAATTATTTTGTTGTGCTCTCGACCGACGTCTGGTTAAAACGGAGCTGTGTGATAAATGTATATTTGTACTTAACTGTTTAAAAAACTGTATTTAAATAACGATTTTTTGCAATTAAAGATATAAAAGTTTTTTTCAACATTGATTGTACGAGTATATAAATAGTTCGTTGACTTTTGAATTCTTTTAAGATAGAATATTATTGTAGGTTATGGTTAAATAATAGCTTATTTTATTGTGTAATCAGTTTGTTTGTATTCAAACATTTATGCGATAACAATTTCAATGTAATACTCCGTTGATACATTACATAATTACTGTAGTTTTGTTTTGTAGTGGTGTCAGGGCATCTTGCAAAGTCATATAGGTATCAGGCGGCCTGTTGTTGCAAAAAAAAATTATCTTGCTTGCCGGTTTGATCAACAACTTCAGTAGGTACAGTAATCGGCACCAGTCGCATAGATAATACACTTAATATTTAAGAATGAGTCGTGAGCTTTGATCTTGACATGCGCAGAAGTGCATTTTTGGGTCTGTTTGGAGGCACGAGGCAAGAACGGGGTGACGCATGACGCCGACCATTTCGATTACGTGGTTGGATCGTACCGCGTTGTGTGACAAGCCGTCAGTTGTGATTCGTTCCCTGTGTTGTGTACGCACATCCCTGCAGCAAACTACACTTTCGTGCAATTTTATTATCCACACAATTTTTTTTTATCAACCTCATTTAATTCTTCCAGACACCAACTTCTTATGTAACATTTACTGTGGAGAAACGTACATTAGGGCCACAAGTATATATCTTGGACATTGATCAATACTCGTACAAAAAGATAACATATCAAGGAATTGTTTATATATCACATAGTTCTTTTCTAAAGTAACTTTAGGATTCTCTTATAAGCTTATCTATAGCTAGCTATATACAAATGGGTTTAAATATATTATTCAAATGGTTTCCCTGGTACCAGAGAAGCCAATGAAAGTCGTCTAAAATCTAGTTTAATAATATAAATTCGTATATATCTTCCATATCCATCACCACAAGGAAAAGCAAATCATATAGCGGTAAAAACTCGACAACACACTGTTCTACAAAAAAAACGGGATGAATTGATAACCTTTTGAAAGTCTGTTAAAATAAGGTTATTTCTGGCTATCTTATAAGCAGAACCCCGGACAAAACTATTATAAAATTACTAATACATTATAATATCCCAAATTGAACGAAGTTAATTTAATTACAAAAAAGGTAATAGTTGATTGAACCATTTAATTTTACCCTAAGTGTACGATGCGCAGACGCCCTGCCCCGCCCCACTCTTTTATTTAGAGCTCACCATCACTGGTGCCTCCTACTATATCACAATCTTATACCCTAAGCTGCGCATTGGCATTTACGTCCAGCTGGTGTCTATAGGCTCCAACAAGGCTTCACATCAGCCAGCCCGCCTGTGGCAAAAACTGTTTATTCTTTAACTTCGGTTATAGAGTAACCGAGTTAAGTTTTCATGGGAAATGAATAGACTTTTCTTTTCTATGAGGTCAATATGGTTGTTAAGCTAAAATTATGTATTGTAGCGACAGTGGCCTGTAGGCGAAATGAATTAAATAATTAAAATATAATAAAAATAATGACTTAAATACATACCGAACGCATGTTCTACCTTTGACGATGAAGGATCGTGAATGATTATACTTTTTTTTTCCACCTAAGCTGATGGCCTTCAGAGGCCATTTCAACGTCACCCTAATAAGTAGGTGAGCTCACGGAGCTCAAACCTGAAGAGATTACTAACATTAACCCTAGCAAGAGCAGTGCTTCGCAGAATCTAATCTAATCATTGAGAAGATCCGGCGAGAAACTCAGTGGGGTATGACTGTGGGTTAATTTACTCGCCGAGCCCTTCATCGCAAGCGACGAGTTAGACGAGAACGATGACCGGGTTTTTGTTAAAGGAGCACATCGGCATTCAAGATTGGCAGTTCGCTAATCTGGTGCAATTTAAAATGTTTAGGTTTCATTTTATCGTAGCAAAGCAATATTTAAATTAATCCGCGTCATATGCTCACACAGACCAACAATTCTGGACGGAGCTGGCTGAGAACGAGCTAGCTGAGGCTTTGCAAGTCAAATGGAACCTTGGAGTCGCGAAGAACGTGATCCTCTTCGTCGGAGACGGCATGGGACCTAACACTGTGACGGCGACCAGGATATACAAAGGGGGAGAGAGTCACAGATTGGTTTACGAGAAGTTTCCACATGTTGGACTATTAAAGGTTAAAGAGCAGATAAAAAAACATTCTATCAAGTGTTCCTATTTTTGTTAATTCGGTTTTTTTTATTTTTTTATTGCTTAGATCTGTGGACGAGCTCACAGCCCACCTGGTGTTAAGTGGTTACTGGAGCCCATAGACATCTACAACGTAAATGCGCCACACACCTTGAGATATAGTTCTAAGGTCTCAGTATAGTCACAACGGCTGCTTCACCCTTCAAACCGAAACGCATTACTGCTTCACGGCAAAAATAGGCGGGGCGGTGGTACCTACCCGTGCGGCCTCACAAGAGGTCCTACCATCAGTAATTAAATTAATTACATGGTGTATGTAAGTACATTGTAATGCTTGGATGTTGTGTACAAATCTGAACTATAATTTAAGTAACAAAATTTGAAAATCACCTTAAGAACCCGTTAAATAACAGTGCGTGTAGTATAATATGGGCGCGAATATTTAAAATAATTTTATCCGAGTCGAATGTTATTTGTTTTTTTTTTTAAATAAATTTCTTCCAATCTTTATATGTTCGCACTCTTCAGATTTTCATTTTGTTTCCAAGCGGTTGTATGTACTGCGTGCAAATATTTTATTTTTCAATATTTTATTTTTATATTTTGCACATAGGTATGTCTGAAACCCACAGTCCAAATGGTTGTTAAATAAGAAAAGATTCTGTAGGCTGTATCTAAACATCTGATTATGTTTAAGCTGTACTGGCTGTTGACACTTTTAAAGCTTCCTGATCTGACAAAATTTTATTATTCTATCCTTGGATCTGAAGCTAAAACTCGAACCATTGCTATTAATAGCTTGATTAGTTTATAAATCGTTGCAACAAAATCGACCACTTCTCTGTATTATTATGTTTCCTTCGCGTTTACATCAAAGCAATTGCGAATTACACTACACAAATTTCCTTCATTCCATCAATCGGTCTGTACAAACATCTGTTTTCATTCAGACATTTCCTGTGATGTATTCCTGTAACGCTGAAGTTAACTTTTACCCATGAAATTTGTACGAAATCTTAACAGAAAAGAAACGCTAAATCTAACGTAATAAAATTTGAATTTCATTAATGTAGACAAAGTCAATCAAATATATGCATATTAAGGATAAATCAGAAAGTATTTGTCAGATCTTGATAATATTTGAATCGGTCCACGTGAGTAGCCCCAACTGTTAAATAATATTTAAAAAAAAAACATCATAATCGGTTCACAACGGTGAAAGAAAAGTTTTTAAAAATACGGTAGAACTGAGAAACCTCTTTTTTTTAAGTCTGTCATTAATTACATAAATTATATCCTCAACAAATAATAAAAGACTGTAACAAACATCCACCCGTTCTAACAAACTTTTTCATTTATAATGGCAGTAGAACCAGTTCAGATCAGTTCAGGTCAGTTCATGTCAGTTCAGGTATTTTTTTTGTTGCTTAGATGTGTGGACGACCTCACAGCCCACCGGGTGTTAAGTGATTACCGGAGCCCATAGACATCTACAACGTAAATGCCACCACCCACCTTGAGATATGAATTCTAAGGTCTCAGTAGAGTTACAACGGCTGCCCCACACTTCAAACCGAAACGCATTACTGCTTCACGGCAGAAATAGGCAGGGTGCTGGTACCTACCCGTGCGGACTCACAAGAGGTCCCACCACTAGTTGAGCTTTCCCAGAACTTAATTAAAATGATAAAAATGTTTTATCTCCAGACATATTCAGCTAACAAAATGGTCCCAGACTCATCGTGTTCCGCCACGGCACTGTTCTGTGGGGTCAAAGCCAATCAAGAGACCATAGGAGTGGACGCTAGTGTGAAGCACAAGGATTGTTCTGCTTCGTTGAGGCCAGAAGCCAGGTTGAAGTCTTTAGCCTCGATAGCTCTGAAAGCTGGGAAGAGTGCTGGTGAGCAGAATCTATTATTTCATCTATACTAATATTATAAAGCTGAAGAGGTAGTTTGTTTGGACGCGCTAATCTCGGGAACTACTGGTCCGATTTGAACAATTCATTCAGTGTTAGATAGCTCATTTATTGAGGAAGGCTATAGGCTATATAACATCACGGCAAGGCCAACACAATTGGAGCACCAATAAACAATGTTTCAAAATAGGGGTTTAAATAGCTCCTTAACATTCTATAATTCAAAAATATTTTCACTTTCTACGTAAATGAAATGGGAGTAAAATTTAGCGTTAGACATTCTACTATTGATTAGTAACTAGACGCACCCCCCGGTTTCGCCTGCGAATATTTGTAGTCATTCAGAAATTATGAAACAGTCTGTTTTTGTCCGGGATAACGAGTAGCTTGTGTCATCCGCTACTCGATAAGTTACCGGTCGATTTGTACGTAAAATCAGCGACAGCCAATGATTAAATTATCGTGACGACTGTACACGAACCGAAAAAAATAAACACGATTTTTTTCGAAATGTCACACACATCTGTGGCTCATATTTATTTACCATCAATTCAATGCCGGAACGCGCGCCGTGGATACAAAGAATATATTTTCGTCGAATTATAATGTTAGCAGCGAGATAAGACAAGAGCATTCGTATCGTATGTAGCGATGCAACGGTGTTCGAATCCCGCAGGCGGGTACTAATTTTTCTAATGAAATACGTACTTAACAAATGTTCACGATTGACTTGCACGGTGAAGGAATAACATCGTGTAATAAAAATCAAACCCGCAAAATTATAATTTGCGCAATTACCTACTGGTGGTAGGACGTCTTGTGAGTCTGCACGGGTAGGTACCACTGCCCTGCCTATTTCTGCCGTGGAGCAGTAATGCGTTTCGGTTTGAAGGGTGCGGCAGCCGTTGTAACTATACTGAGACCTTAGAACTTATATCTCAAGGCAGGTGGCACATTTACGTTGTAGATGTATGGGCTCCGATCACCACTTAACACCACGTGAGCTGTGAGCTCGTCCACTCATCTAAGCAATAAAAAGAAACAGTTATTCGTGATGAATCATTATTTTCTGTTAGGTTTTGTGACAACTATGCGAGTCACCCATGCGACCCCGGGTCCCATTTACGCCCACAGTGCTGATCGTAAATGGGAATGCGAAGACAAAATGCCTGCTAGCGCTGCTGCTTGCAAGGATATCGCGAGGCAACTTGTGGAAGACTGGCCCGGAAAAGACTTGCAGGTTTGCAAACTGAATGTGCATTTTGTTTTGATGTCCGGCCTTTTGTTCGCATGGTCTTCAATTATGTAAAGTTACAGGATAAGAGGTAGCTCCTCAGTGATGACATTTCAGTAGGTACGTGTATTCTTCGTGTCATCCACAGCATAGACATCAGATGTTGTTTCAGATAATTTTTAATTGTACCTGAATCAATTAAGCGTTCTGAATCCAAGGGTAGGGCAGCCGCATATCTATATTCACGGCGTGATATGAATGAATGCCATGAAATATGTAATTTTCTTTTCACCAGCACAACCCAGAGCTTTTTTGTAAACCTATAATCAGTCTGTCGAACTTACGCATGTTTAAATCAAAATCCGTAAAGTAATAAAGTCTTCTGAATTCATAATCACATGTCGAGAGCAATATGAACAAATACCATATTGTGAACATGATTTTATTGACGCTTACCGCGCTGTTTGTTAAACAACGCTTAGATGTGCCGGAGACCTGCGAATTTTTTTCAATTAAATACATTGCACCAGTGGTGTTCCGTCCTATAGCTTCTATGGTCCCAGAGATAGAGTGGCATGATGGTTTCCAACGGTACAGCAGACATCTCGCCACTAATACAAAAATGCCGCTGTGTTGCAAGTGGTAAATATAAACAGTCAGCGTTGTGTGTTCCGTGCAAAAGGACGTGCACGAGGAAGATGTAAAATTTAAAGTTCCAATATTTCAGGTAATCCTAGGTGGAGGCAGACAGGTTCTTGTATCCAACAGCACAGGTACTAAAGAAGATCCATTAGATACGTGGTCTTGCATCAGAAAGGACGGTAAGGATCTCATAAAAGAATACCAGAAGGACAAACATGACCGCGGCTTGAGATATAGCTATGTATCAAATAACAAGCAGCTTAAAGGATTCGATGTTGACCAAACCGATTATCTTTTGGGTGAGACTTATTTTATTTATTACCTTAGAGCGTAGGTACCACTTGCACGAAAATTTGGTAATTTTATTTTTAGTAGATATGGCAACACCATAACTTTTTCATAACATTAAAATCGTCATCCGAACAAAATTAGGGTTAGATGTATTTTGTTTGTCACTTCTAATTAACAAATCCAAAATACACATGAGCTAAGAGCACAGAATAGTTCAGGCTCTACGAAATGGTAAGAAACTCTACGGCCGTAGAAGCACCATCAGGTGGGCCGTATGCCCCTCTGCCTTCTTCTTCTTCGTCGCTTTCTTCATTGCTGAAGGTCGTGTCCCTGAAACTTGACCGTTGCCTGTCTCGTGAGCTGTTTCCATCTCGTCCGGTCCTCAGCTGCTCGAATGGCGGTTGCGACTGGCAACCCAGTTAGAGCGGTTACTTGATCACACCAACGGCTAGCTAATCGGCCGCGGGGTCTCTTTCCTTCTACTTTGCCCGTCACAATCACTTTGTCCAAGTTATCTGACTGTCGGCGGGCAATATGACCGAAGTAGCTGAGGATCCTCTGGTAACAGATTGTTGAGAGCCTGACTCGGATGCGAAGCTGATCTAGGATAGATTTATTTGTCCTCTTGGCCGTCCACGGAATTCGGAGCATTCGTCTCCAGCACCACATTTNTCATATAAGAAAAGTATTGTACTTACCTTAAAAATAAGCTTAGTCTTTAACTTAAAAGGGGAGATGTCAGGTAAAGAATGTACCTAATCTATGGCAATACAGTCAGACTACTTCCGCCATTAAAACAAGTCACACGCAGAGCTCGTCGTTTTATTATAAAATATATATATATGTCACAACCCGGCCATCCTATGACTTCACAATCCGTAAAGTAATAAAGTCTTGTGAATTCATAATCCACATGCCGAGAGCAATATGAACAAATACCATATTGTGGACATGATTTTATTGACGCTTACCGCGCTGTTTGTTAAACAGCGCTTAGGTGAGTATACTGGAGGCCTTCGAATATATATATATAGAGATGAGTGGACGAGCTCACAGCCCACCTGATGATAAGTGGTTACCGGAGCCCATAGACATCTACAACGGCTGCCTCACCCTTCAAACGCATTACTGCTTCACGGTACAAATAGGCAGAGCGGTGGTACCTACCCGCGCAGATTCATAAGAGATCCTACCACCAGTATTTACGCAAATTATAATTTTGGGGGTTTGATTTTTACTATACGATGTTATTCCTTCACCGTTGGAAATCAATCGTGAACATTTGTTAAGTACGTATTTCATTCGAAAAATTGGTACCCGCCTGCGGGATTCGAATACCGATGCATCGCTCAATACGAATGCACCGGACGTATTATCGTTTAGGCCACGACTGCTAAAATATTTATCAATTAAACACTTTGCACCAGTGTGCCGTCCTATAACTTCCATCGTCCCAGAGATAGAGTGGCATGATGGTTTTCAACGATACAGAAGACATCCCGCCACTAATACAAAAATGCCGCTGTGTTGCAACTCTTAAAGATAAACATTCATCGTTGTGTGTTCCGTGCAAAAGGACGTGCACGAGGAAGATTTAAAATTTAAAGTTCCAATATTTCAGGTAATCCTTGGTGGAGGCAGACAGGTCCTTGTATCGAACAGCACAGGTACTAAAGAAGATCCATTAGATACGTGGTCTTGCATCAGAAAGGACGGTAAGGATCTCATAAAAGAATACCAGAAGGACAAACACGACCGCGGCTTGAGATATAGCTATGTATCAAATAACAAGCAGCTTAAAGGATTCGATGTTGACCAAACCGATTATCTTTTGGGTGAGATTTATTTTATTTATTACCTTAGAGCGTATCACTTGCACGAAGTTTTGGGAAATTTTGTTTTTAGTAGATATGGCAACACCATAACTTTTTCAAAACATTAAAATTGTTTTTTTTTATTGCTTATGTGAGTGGAAGAGCTCACAGCCCACCTGGTGTTAAGTGGTTCCTGCAGCCTATAGATATCTACAACATAAATACGCCACCCACCTTGAGATATAAGTTATAAGGTCTCAGTATAGTTACAACGGCTGCCCCGCCCTTCAAACCGAAACGCATCACCGCAGAAATAGGCGGGGCGGTGGTACCTACCCGCGCGGACTCACAATAGGTCCTACCACCAGTAACCAGTCATCCGAACAAAATTAGAGTTAGATGTATTTTGTTTGTCACTTCTAATTAACAGATCCAAAATACCCATGAGCTATGAGCACAGAATAGTTCAGGTTCTACGAAATGGTAAGAAAATCTACGGCGGTAGATGCTGCAACTCTTGGGTTTTCAAACGTCCTCTGGGAACACCCGGGCAGTTATTAGCGAACGTTTCGCTCCTAGATGAGTTCTTGAATTCTCCCGCCCCTCCTAGCGCAAACAGACAGAACTTCGGACTACCAGCTATCCTCCTATCCCGAAAAAGAACATGGCCGCTTCACTCCCAATAGTTTCGAAAGGTTTTTAGATGTCTCATGGACATAGATTTGGGACTTGTACGGTTTGGACTGGATTATAATAAAGATCAACCAGATGCTGTGCTAAGGGTTGAAGGTTAAAGAAACATTACGTAAACTTAGTACCTCTTTGCAGGAATCTTTGCAAACGGGCATCTAAAATATGAACACGAAAGAAACAAAGGTCCAGAAGGTATGCCTTCGATATCCGATATGGTTGAAGCCGCCATCAAAGTGTTACGGAAAAATAAAAACGGATACTTTCTTATGGTCAGTATGAGTTTAAAGCTAAAAGTATTTTGTCAGCAACGTGAGGAAATTTTGTAAAGAATATCTGAACTAATCGGTCTATATTACGTTAACGATGTCGTACAATAAGTGACGCGTTTATAAATCAATTCAACGTCTATTTCCTTATAGGCCAAACATAGGAGGATTGTATAGTCAACAAATCTAATCTATACTAATTTATTATTATAAATCTACAGTGGTTTTTACGGATGTTCCGTTATGACATACTGAACCATGCATCCGATTGACTTGAAACGTGGTATCCATGTAGAAAATACATGTACTTAATGGATAGGCTAATATTTATATGAGTGTTGGACTCCCTACACCAGTTGCGGAGGCGTTAATGATGAGAATCTTTGTGGGGGTGAGAAATAATTATGCAAAAACTTTGGGAAAACCCGTAATGCCATAATTTTTAATGTTCCTTTCAAGGTAGAAGGCGGCAATGTGGACATGGCCCACCACCGGGGCTGGGCCAAGCGCGCCGTCGACGAGTCCGCGGCCCTCGAGGGCGCCGTGCGGCTCGCGGCTGCGCACACCGACCCCCGGGACACGCTGCTCGTCGTCACCAGCGACCACACGCACACGCTCTCCATCAACGGCTACCCCTACAGGGGCACTGATATATTTGGTACGGCGAACCTTGTCCCTACTGTACCCGGTCATCATACATCATCATCATGTCATAGCCTCAAACACTCCTTACGGATCCATCAGATCCAATAACTTTTGCATTAGACGCCTTCAGCTCTAACACTAGGAGCAGGCTTAGGGACCCCGGTAACCGTACTTGTCGAACTCGGCAAAGAGTTCGACGAGTTACCGCCGAGTTTCTCGCCGGATCTTCTCAGCGGGTCACGATTCCGAGCCGGTAGTAGATTCATTTGCGAAGCAATTGCTCTCGAGTTGTTAGGTCTCCTTCGGAGGCGCTCGGGCAGCTGTTAGCAAATCCCACCCCGCCTGGCTGAGCCTTTGCTCGCCCACCTGTCCTGGTGCAACTGAAAAGGGCTCCGGGCCACCAGTAATCTTTCAATCATAAAAAAAAAGATTCTGCTAAGCACGGCTCTTGCTAGGGTTGCTCTTGCTAGGATACCAAGCACTAGGACACTATCAACCCTGAGCACTGGTGAACAATCTTCACCTCACGCAATGTAGACATCAAAACTATTTGCTGACTCATTGCTGACTCATAAATAAAGTGCTAATTATAAAAGTAAAAAAATATACACATGTAGATATTAAACACCCAAGCACAGGTACACAAACCAATTCAAGACAATGCTTGCTCGAAGTTGGTATCGAACCCGACTGGTGGTAGGACCTCCTGCGAGTCCGCGCGGGTAGGTACCACCACCCCGCCTATTTCTGCCGTGAAGCAGTAATGCGTTTAGTTAGAAGGGCAGCCGTTGTACTTTTAAAAGTGAGACCTTACAACTCATGTCTTAAGGTGGGTGGCGGCATTGACGTTGTAGATGTCTATGGGCTTCAGTAACCATTTAAGATCAGGTGGACCGTGATCTCGTCCACCCATTCAAGCAATAAAAAATAAAAAAAGCTTATGACTGTTAGAGTCAAAAGCCCTATCTACTGCGACACAGTATGAGAGGTACTCTATAAGAAGATTTAAAAACCAAACATGACCTTCCAGGCATAGCCCAAACTTCAAAATACGACAACGTGAACTACACGACGCTGTCATACGGCACCGGAGGCCCGGGCTCCATGAAGTACTCCGTGAAAACCGAACACAACAGGACCGTGGCCGCCAGAGAAGACCCCGGCGTCAACACCGACAGCTTCGACTACCAGCAGATAGCGGCCATCACTCTGGACGAGAACAGCCACGGGGGCGGAGACGTGGTGGTCTACGCGCGAGGTTCGTGACCACGGCCTGGTGGTGGGGGGCAGTGGGTCCACCACCCTCAGGGTGTATGACGGGACTCGCGAGGTCCAACCGATCGAGTTGTGATTGATCACCCATCTAGTACAAAAATTGGTTTAATATTTAAAAATATCAAAGTAAATCTCATGTCTGCACGCACGAAACAAGGTCTTGAGGTAGGTGGCGGCATTTACGTCGTAGATGTCTATGGGCTCCGGTAACTACTTAACACCAGGTGGACCGTGAGCTCGTCCACCCAACTAAGCAATAAAAAAATAACAGAAACTTGCACATCAAGTACCGATGACAATACAATAATTTTATAACTTCGGCCTAAAAATCTGTGTTAACGAGGGCAAAATAATTATTAAATCAACAGTTAGTAGGTAAGCTTAGTAACCTTAACTTAAATGGTTATTTAGGTATGCAATTATCAAACTGTAGTGTTTACATAAAAAACGAAAGTTTCTTTTTATATTTGCGAGTATTAGAAAATATGTAAAATACCAAACTAAACGAATATAAATCTTGAGACGTCAGTGATTATGATCGAATTTCAAATGGGCGAATACAGTTTGAAAACAAATTGACGTAATTTACGTTAGGCCCCCTTTTCCACGGGTCAGTATTGATATTGACTGATATGATTGGCATGCAAAAAACGAGACTTGTGGAGAGTATTAAACGGTAGGCAGCGGCTTGGCTCTGCCCCTGGCTTTGCTGACGTCCATGAGCGACGGAAACCACTCACCATCAGGTGGGCCGTATGATTGTGTAGAAACAAGGGCGATAAAAGAAAATAAAAAGAAAAAACGGTGCGCGTGCAACTTGGTGCACGTGAATGAAGTGAAACTTCTTTTTCGATGTGTAGTATTGTGGTTTTCTTCATTTTTCATCCTTAAATCAAATTGGAGCCGACTTAACCTAATAGGTGTATGGCTTTAATAAAGAATTTAAAAAAAAAAAATCAAATTGGCTCTTGTAAAAGGGAATGCTGTGTATAAGAGATGCGACATCTTCAACATTTATATTATATATACTTTAAATTATAGATAGACAATTTATTTTAAATACTTCATTAAAATATTGAACGCTACTCGTTGCTAATACTCGCGCTTGCCTGCAACAGGTAAACTACGCGCATGCGTTCGCGTGCCACGTATTCACTCTCGCTCTGTCTCTTTCTATTTCATGGTAGCGTTACACGTTTAACGCAACCTTACTGGAAGTCGCATTAGAAGTTTCACTTCAAAAAAAAAGCAATGAAAATAAAAGTTGTACATTATTTCGTCGACCAGGTCCCCACGCTCATCTGTTCCACAACGTGCACGAGCAGCATTACGTGTACCACGCGATATCGTACGCCGCCAAAATGGGCGCCTACTCCGGAACCAGCGCCATCTATACCAACATTTCGTTGTTAGCAATCGCCGCCTGGGTTGCCATATGTATAATGAAATAAACGTTTCCTTTTTAACACATTTTTTATTAGCCTGCTATACCTTTGTAACGGAACCTTTGAATTTCGCTTCGTAACGTCGAATTGATTTGAAACTTCACACACTTATGAAGACCGATGGCAAAACAATAATTTACTGATTTTTACGATAATTTTTTTTTTCTTAATCACTCCGTTTAAGAAACTTATTTTCTACTTTTTAGTTAGTAGCAAAAGCGTGTTCTTTGGATAACCAACTTAAGTAATTAAATAATTATTTAAAATCGAGTGGGTGAGTAAAAAGAAAGTCGTATCACGAATAATTATTTATTGTGTATGTGTCCGAGTGGCGTGCCGGACTCCGATGGACTGACTTGGCATTGACGTGAGCTGGCACAATAACTTTAGTCTTCTTTTAGTGCCGAAGAAACTTACACTACCATAAAAAAAATGGTAATACTCTTTTTGCGTCAAAATAGTTAAGAGTTCGCGATACGACGTGAAAAGAAAAAAAACGAATCACAATAAATTATAATTTATTGCCACATTCAAAATAGAACATCTAAATTACATACATACGTCACAACAATCGGGATTGCGTAAACAACTACCAACATAAACATAATTGTGCAAAATATACAAGAAAAACGTAGCACCAACATTACGATTTAAAATTAAATCACCGGGTATTTTGAAAGAACCGGTTTCACTAATGCTAAATATTTTCGTGACGGGCTTGTATTGTATACACGTACATAACAATTTTATAAATTCGATTTATAAAATTGTTTCATTAAAAATTTTGATCTAATTAAACATTGTTATCCGATTGATTTTGATACTTGAAAATGTAGACATAAAAATTCTGATACGCTAAGAAACATTCTCTTTATTAGGTGACCGTTCTAGCTTGTTCCAAAGACATAATTTCAAGGCAATTAAATTGTTATCTGAATTTTATTTTAAGGCAAAATTTGTCTTGATTACTGAAGTAATGAAAATTTTAACTGCTTATGTTCATTTATTTACATTTCATAATACAATATTGTGTTGGCTGATTTTTCTATTATCATCTACAAGTCTCCCAGCAAGGCAATTATAACCCAACCGAATGTAAAAGTTAGCATTTCGATACAGTTGGTAATGATTTGGGTGATTCAAACGTATTTAATCATATTCAAAAACTTTAAACTGACATAAATATCAGCAGCAATGAACAAATTTATTTGCAATAAAATTCATTAAAAATAAAACACCTCAATAGTGTATGCGTTAGAAATAAATTTTCAAATAACACGAGGGCTACAAAGCAAGTTACCTATAAGGAGTAGGTATGTTTTTTTTTCTTTAAGTTGGCACACTGTTGAACTGTCAAATCCCGAGCGTCACCCGCGCAATCAACAATGTCAACAGGCTGCCAACCGTGAGCGCTCGTGAACACACTCGATGTTACGTACATATGATTTTCAGTAAAACTGATAACACAGTGGTACGCGTCCAGCCCGGGTGCCGCGACCTCACCACCCCCAGCCACCCAAGCCTGACCCACGAGCGCCCTTACATATTGAATAAAACATTTCGAAAATCACATAGCAATATTTCAAAACGTTCTAATATCGTTCCGTATTAATTAACATCTTGATAATCCGATTTTAAATCGATCGGATTCGCGTAAAATGTGTTCCGCTTACACTTTAGTTAGTTGAGATATTTCTTGAGGACGATCCCTATGAGCAAGGCTCCAGCCAGCGCCACCACTGCCCATTTCAATTTCGAACTGTAACAACAAATATGCTCATTAAGTTACAAGATATACGCGCGGTCAACATTCCGTAGTCACCCAAGTTTTCTAAATCAAATGAAAATAATGATTTTATTTTACTAATGAAACTTAACAAAAATTTTGGTAATATGTATAATTCACTCACGTTTCTCTTTCAAAACCCTATAAAGATAACTGGAATTTTAGGAATATACTTTTTTTTTACTTTGTTTCATTTAATGGCGACCGAAACTGATGTCCAGGTGGTAGTGGTATTATCTACTTATTTTTATACCACCAGGTGGTGGTGTTATAATCTCAGTAAAATGGTGGTCATTTACTGAAATATTTTCAGTGAACATTTTGGAGAACTCCAAGAGGTTGCGTCCAGCGACTTTGTTTGAAATGAAATAAGATGATAATAATATGGGATGAATTATAATCTCAGTAAAATGATAGTCATTTACTGAAACTTTTTCAGTGGACATTTTAGAGGATCCCAAGAAGTTACGTTCAGCGGCTTTGTTTTATTTTCCCACATTTTTGCATTTTCACAGATACTAAACAATTAATATACCGTTATTATACATTTAAACTAGAAGAAACACTAAATAGACAAAATAAAACAAATCACACAACTTCACTCCTCGCGGTCCCGCCAAAAAGTCTGTAGGAACTGGTGACTACAGACTTTTTGGATGCGTATATCCTCAGAACTCTTATACTGCGCGTTTTTTGGTATATAAAAAAGGTATTTAAACAAAAACGACTTAATGAGGGTAGTATCACTTATTGGTATTATGATAAATTGCGTACTAAGGAAGGAAAAACTTTTTTTTTATTTTCGACTAAAACGTATAATCAATTATTTTTAACACAACACTTATAACGAAATATGACTGGATACAGTGATTTCAAACTTAAAACTCTAGTAAAATCTTTAAGAGTACTGGTACGCAATAACTACTTTTAATGAAGTATTCTACAAAAAACCTCTAAAAAGATACAAAAAAATCAGTCAAAACCTTCTTGGTGGTGGACAAGGCGGAGATCTTCCACACCTTGAAAATCAATTAAATAAATCATTAATATATGTAAATGAAAATAAATATTTTTAATGACTTTTATAATATAATTTTACCCGAAAATCAATAATGGTTGGGAAAAAAGAGGTGGCAGCCCCATATGAGAAGTCACATCTCAGAATCGAGATTTACAATTTTGGTAACAACAACTTGGTAACTACCAGATTTTATTATTGTCACCTGTCTTTTCTCGATGTACTTTGTTGTTTTTGTCTAAGCATGTACGTAAAGATGATCTATGGTTTTTTTTACGATATATGAAATAAGTATTCATTATTCACATAAATCTGTATAAAAGTAGGTATTGAGCTACTATTGACCAAAACCTCCACAAAATATATCAACAAGCAACGAAATGCATTGTCAGTAATTTATTTTAAATTAAAATAATGAATGGAAGATTGAAAATTAAAATATTAACCTTTCTCTGGGCACTACAATAGTCGAAATCCTTCTGTCGACTCTTGGACTCGCCGGAGGTTTGTATTCAGATTTACAAGGCATCCTTCGACTGCTACGTACGTGGACGTTTAATATCTTATAACATGTATAATATACTAAAACGTATATAAATATTATGTGCATCAGTCTCCAGTTCTTAGACTAAGGACACTAATTTTGGGACCAGATGACCGTTTATGATTTATCCTCGATTATTTCTATATTTACTTTGCCATTTTTAATTCAAAATGCATCCATCCTACTTTCTCCAAGAAAAATAAAATTGATTTTTTTTTATTGCCCTTGTAGGCAGACGAGCATACGGCCCACCTGATGGTGCGTGGTTACCGTCGCCCATAGACTTCAGAAAGGCCAGGGGCAGAGCCAAGTCGCTGCCTACCGTTGAGTACTCTCCACAAGCCTCGTTTGAAGAAGGACAAGCCATAGCGCTCGGGAAACACCGTGGAGGGGAGCTCATTCCAAATCCGGATGGTACGTGGCAAAAAGATCTCTGGAAACGCACTGTGGATGAACGCAGTGGCTGCAGGTAGTATGGATAAACTCTACTCCGGATTAGATGATTAGAGATTGGCAAAGAGAAAAAATTTATATAATTTATAACATAACATAAAAAGAATTTAGTTTTTTTATTGTAATTACGTTCGAATTATTGGCGAACACGTTTATAATGAAAATATAATTTACAATTATGTAAACTGAAGCTGAAGTTTCGCTTTGGGACTTTCCCTCTCTTCATAATCTTATTATTAATTTAATTATTATTGTTAAATATAATGAATTGCTCAACCTCGCCGGGGATCCGTCGTAGGTCCGCCATGATTTTTCACTTGAGTTTCTTGAACTGTATAGGATAACAATCCCATTACAATCTAGTTTCGACAAATTACGATCTGTACTAGAATACCAAAGGAGACTTCCAATATTAGGCTTGTATTTTTATGGTTATATTCACAAGATTTTTTTTTTGCCAATTGCCAAACTGGTTCACGATCCACCTCGACACAGAGTGGTGGATTTACACTAAGGGCAGTCGGGGCTGGTCGGCCCAGGGCCGCAACTTTTTTAGGGCGGCATAATTATGAAAGTGATTAAAAAAAAAAATTCTTATCAATATTGTTCAGAATAAAATTAATTAATTCTATTAATTAATAATTTTCTGTTTGATTGATAATTCAAGAAATTCAATTCATCCATTATTTGTGAATTACAAATTTGGCACTTTTGGAAAAAAAAAATGAAAATTATTTAATCAATTAAAGAAATTTAATTAGTTTTTTTTTCGTTTTTTTTTTTTTTAAATCAGGATGGTGACAAAGGATACCTTTGATCTAGAACACGAAAACCATCCCACGGGAAAATGTTTGATTATCGACTCACTTACGACTAAGAGCTGTTACGAAGACATGGTCACTAACAGGTTCGACGGTGTTTTTTATGGAAAACAAATGAAAGTTCAATGACATAATGAGTAGCTATTTGTAACATGGCCATTGAACAATATAAGAAACGGCAACAAAAAATATTAACCTTGAAGATCTAGCAGCTCTCGGTTTGCAGCTGCAAATAAAAAATTATCTAATCACTGCCCGTGTCTTAAACGTGAATAGTAAAAGATTTTGTAATGTAAATACATATTTTGAACTTCATAAGTATACGATAACGTAGAAAAAGAGACTTTATTGACGGCAGTTATAAGAGCCAAATTAGAAGAACCAGAAAAAAAAAAAATGAAAATAAAGTCAAGGTAATACAGTCAAAATCTGTTATAACGACATCGAAGGGACTGCTCATATTCAGTCGTAAAAACCGATAGTCGTAACAACCGGTGATGCTTAATGTGTATCGTGCAAGTACAAATAAATCGATAGGGAATTATTGGAAAAATATATTTACATAATACGCGATTTTTCTTCAATATTAATTAGTTTTCTTTTTCTTTGCGACATTTTGAAAGTTTCACGAATAACTCCACAAAGTTTAAGTGCGTCTTGTGTATAGATAAGTAACAAACTAACTGAACAGATATGAAGAAGCGGGCTTTGACTCTACCGCATGCACGTGTTTTGTTTCTAAGAATTAGAAAACTAAATCCTATTGTTTTCGTTCCTGATTTTAATAGCCATTGAAGACAAATGTGGATACCTATTCAAATTGTTTACAATACAGCTGAGCCGGTCGTTCTAACAGATCTAATTCTCCGAAATATTAGTCAAATGTGGTCGTTTTATGAGGTATGTCGTTATTACCAATGTCGTAGAAAGCAATATTTTTAATAAGGCGGTCATATGGCATTCAGCCGGGACCTTTGTTCTTGGTTATTATAACCGGCATGTTGTATTAAACGATGTCGCAGTAAACGGTTTTGACTGTATGTGTAAGTGGAGATAGTGGAGATAAGTGGTATTCATACTAGACATGTCAACGTTCGTTATCATGTATTATAACAACAATATGAACTTTTGAATGAATAAATATCAATAAAGTTTGTTTTTGGCACAGGTTATCTTTACGAGTTATAGACAGCTTTAAAAAAAACAGTTTTTTGTTATACACATTTGATAGAAAAACGTGACTCGACGAGATAAGACTTATCAATCTTAGAATATTCTTATTGTAAAGATACGATACGCGACGGCCAGCAGAGTCTATCGAGAAACTTGTTGTTCGGGGTTGGGTCAATGGTAAACGATCTCGTGGACAAAGCCCCATGCGCTGGACTGATCAGTGTGCTTAGTGCGAGTTTTTTTACGTTTTGGATAGCGTAAAAGTTAGCTCATATTTGTATGGAATAGGATCGTTTGCCTACGTTTGCCGCTAGGGGCGCTGTTGCAACTGCATACAAAATTGGGTTAACTTTTACGCTATCGAGAACGTTAGAAAACTCGCACTAAGCACACAAATGAAAATCCTTACCAAAACCTCACTTAACCAGTGCGTACCCAAGCCTCAGTTCGCGAATTATGGAGAACATCTGTCAAGGCTTTAATAAACAAGAATTGACCGCGACTGTTCTGCCAATAGTAGCCATCTATGATGATGAACTCGAATTTGAACAAAATAACAGATTTTCAACGATTTTCAATGGTAAGGCGCATTGTGTGCCTCATTTAAAAAAAAAAGAATGAATAATAGAGCATAAATATTATAGAGCATAAAGCAATAGAGCATTATCTCTTTGACTTTGTTTCGATGGCTGTCCTTAGGAATAGATTTTATTCGAAACAGTGTTACACCTAATGTGGTTTGACGTTCATCAAGTAGGTATTGGTGCCCTTTAAATTGAAATAAATGATCATTTGTTATCTGAATAAATATAAGAAATTATTTGATTGTAATTGACCATATTTTATTTGAATTTTTTTTAGGCAATGACAACCAGAGACAACAATAACAACCATACATGAATATTGTAATCATAATGAAATAATGATCACAAAATGGCAGTCATTTCAATTGTAAATGAGTGCTGCAAATTATTACAAAATAAATATATACACTTACCAATCTGTGATGATTTTGCATCTTTCACCTGGAGGCAACGTTCCAATTTTGTATTTCTTCAACAACTCTCTGAAAATAAGATTATTATTTTTTAATAGCAAGAAGTAGGATTCATAGCAGTACCTAATATCCATCTACTAAATGGAATAGTCTATACTAAAAAATGTTTCAAAATTAAATATAATTTAAAAAATTAAAAACTATACAAAGAAATATATACCGAGCATCATCGCTATGTCCCACGTCTTCAAAAGCCTGGGTTCCATCCTTCCCTGCCACTTCTAACAATGAATCAGCTCCACCTGGATGCTATAAACATTTAAACTCTTTAGTTTCAGAAAACAATTGAAACAAAATCATTTCTAACAATTCTTTGTATTTTTATTTATTTATTGTTAGTAAATATTTATTTATTTATATTTGTTATTGTTCCAGTATTTTAAGTCCATAACAGAAATGTTGACACTTTTATAACATTAACAAATATAATATAATCAGACAATCACTGTTCCCCCTAACAAGTGAAGTTGAGCGAGATTAGGCTATTTAGGGACTTATTATATTAAAAACATCCACTGCCTAAAGAAGTCAGTCAGAAGTCAGTCAGGAAAGACTTGTGGGGCACTTCTAGTAATATATCATATTATTTACTTAAAATGGGATTTAAGAAGGACTAACACTAGTCCTCTATGATAAGTAGAAAATGTGTCCTATGTGTGTCATCACAATTTTAAATTTGATATACATATTCATAAATCGGAATAATTACTTTCAGTACTACCCACATCAAGTATGTATTACTAATCTACCTATTTCCATGGCAAAGAATATGATAGTTATGGCTCTTATCTTAGAATTTAGATATGTGACACTTAATGACTGATGGGTTTAAATGAAGTACCAGCATAACTTACGAGCAATGATTTGAGTGATAAAATAGCTGTTATAAAATATTTCTAACTATGATGGTGAGTAGTGGTAATGTTAATGATCTCTGTTCATAGCCAAAGTAGTCAATTACGACGAAGAGTTCGACCTGCAAATTAGCCCACAGACACAACTGACTGAGTTTCGGATCTTTTCAGTGGGTCGGGATTCCGATCCGGTGATAGAAGGTAGCGAAACACTGTATTACCAAAGTCCTGTGTTAACAAACTCTCTCAGGTTGAGACTGTGAGCCCACCTACCAGCCAGGGCGTATCTGGAATAGCTCTTTAGGCTATTAGCAAAATAGGGAAAACAATATCTCCGAAAACAGCTTCGACACAAGGTTTAACGTAACCTCGCCGATAACTTCTAACAAGCAACCAAGCAATAACAAAAAAAACCTTACCTCCTCCAAAAACTTAGTCACGTCGTAAACATCATTATGAATGATTATCCACACGCTCTTTTCGTCTTTATGTTTCTTGACCTCGTCAAGTGTTAAATTTTTACTCATTTTTCTTTGAAAATTTTCAAATTTTTGAAAGAAGTTTTAGTTGGGATTTGACGGTAAGCTTATCACGGTATGAGTATATGGAAATTTATTATGATTAATGGTTATAAGACGAGTTACAATGATGAAGTAGTTTAGGGACGATCAATATCAAGCCCATAGATAATACACCAAAGGTTAAGCCATCAATAATTCTGATTAATTCTATGATTCTGAACAATTTTGATTCAATATTGTGAATGTCACAAATTGTCAATTGTCATTTAACAGTCGTGCTTTTTGAAATTATAAGGCAAAGAAGTCTATTACTCTATAGCTATCACTAAATATAATTTATTTATCGAAAACCTGAACTCTACTAAAATTTTAAAAATAAGTTGTCAGCCAGCCCAACACTAAGAAAATGAAATAAAGCTGCTGGACGTAGCTTCTCGAGATCCTCCAAAAAGTCAATTGAAAAAGTCTCAGTTAAAAGTTGGAGCTTAAAGTCGTCGTGGTCTAAAGGATAAGACGTCCGGTGCATTCATGTCGAGCGATGCATCGGTATTCGAATCCCGAAGGCAAGGTACCATTTTTTCTAACGAAATATGTACTTAACAAATGTTCACGATTGACTTCCATGGTGAAGGAATAACATTGTGTAATAAAAATCAAACCCGCAAAATTATAATTTGCGTAATCACTGGTGGTAGGTTGTCTTGAGTCCGCACGGGTAGGTAGCACTACGCTGCCTATTTCTGCCGTGAAGTGAATGCTTAATAATATACATTAATTATAATAAAATATTCGGTTTGAAGGGTGGGGCAGACGTTGTAGATATCTATGGGCTCTAATAACTACTTAACATTAGGTGGGCCGTGAGCTCGTCCACTCTCTTAAGCAATAAAAAATTAATAAAAAGGGTTCGAATCCCGCCAAGGGAAGATATTTGTATGATAAATATAAAAAATGTCTTTTCCAAGGTTATGGATGTATATTAAATATATGTATGTGTATAATAAAAATCTTACATTTATTTCCGTTATCTGGTACCTGTAACACAAGTTCTTTACGAACTTACCACGGGACTACATAACGTGGCGTGATTGTTAGTATTTTTTTTTAATGACCTGGTGACAGAGACCTTTAGGTCAACTAACATTACAAATCAATCAAATCATAGATAATTGTACACTTAGTTAGAACAGACAAGGCTATATGGGCTTAGATCCCTTTGTCTTTCCTAACAAGGAAAAATTGTACCAAAAAAAAAATGTTTTTACAAATTGTCCGGTCTGTCGATAAATATGGGTAAAAAACTTGTATCGAAATACTAAACTAAGATTACGCAGAATAAAAAATAGTCAGAACTGTTCAATTTAAAACCAAAAAATTAGATGCACACTGATAGTATAAGTTTATAACGTATATAACCTAACCTGAAACAAAAATCGAAAACGGCGGCCACCAGAACGTTGCTAAACTATGTCTACTAATGGCTGTAAGTAAGGATTTTAATGACGTATTAGATGACATAGTGCTTGGTGAAGAAAAAGAGAGCAAGTCTAGCTATGATGAAGGGTTCAGAGCAGGCATAGAAGCTGGTAACATAGAGGGTTATCACTTGGGCTATCATCGGGGTGCTGAACTGGGTCGTGAGCTAGGTGAGTGACATTCAATTTTGATGACCAAAAACCATCTATAACAGTAAAAAAGGGTTCTTACTGAAAATATACCACTATTCAAATTTCTTTAGGTTTCTACTGGAGCACAGTAAATGAATACCTTGAACTAAATGAAACATCAGACGCAAAATTATCAGAAAAAATAATAGCCCAGCTGCTCAAAGTTAAAGAACTAATAGATACTTTTCCTCCAAATAATTCTGAAGACCATGACATACTAGGTATGGCCGATGCAGTTAGAGCACAATATAAGAAGGCTTGTGCTTTGTTAAAGATACCTTCAAACAATCCATATGATGCAGGAGTCTCATTCTAAAAGAAAAGGTGAGTTACCTTCTTATAGAAATATAATTTTAACTCCGATAGATTTTATACTTATATTTTATAAGAATAAAAAGTATTTGAGGAGCTATAGTCTTCCTTTAAGGAAAACAATAATGTTTAGTAGTTTCAGATTGTTGCAAATTATACAGGATAATTACTAAATATATTTTGCATTGATCTAGAATTAATGGGGAGTAAACCTTATCTCAACATCCTATATGTTACCGTACATGTCCTTAAAGGTTATTACTGAATGCTCAAGCCTAAAAATTTCACCAGAGAATAGGCAGTAGTATTCTCTGAGTATAGTACTGGCCTCACTAACCCACATTTTCTGTACAATACTGTTTCAATATGTATTTTTTTGCCTTAGGTGGGTATGATCTATTTCTGCCTATTTCTAGTCTAGCCACAAAATAGTCATTATTGTTCTGGTTTGAAGACAGTAACAATTAAGTCTTTTCTACCATATGACTTTACGTGGGTGGTGGTATTCATAAAGTGTCATCTAATGCGTTCTGATAACTATTTTATACTCGATAGGCTGTGAGCTTATTTATCTATCTCTGAAATAATTAAAAAGTGTAATAATTTTTATATTTACTATTTACTACATTAAAAGTCATGAATGTCTATAAGTTTATCGATTTGAACCTTAATTTTAACACTTTAAAGAACCTACATAATTCCATACCAATTTAATTGATCCAGATTCAATGAAAACAACGATTCGTGGTCTTTGTCACAATATAGATTCCCTAATCAACTACCTTGCACCATATTTGCCACTGGTCAACTGTCATATGGTAGAATTCCTAACAAATGACCATTGGAATACATACTTGCCAAATACTTTAAAAGAATATCTCGATCAGCTGGATTTGAATGAGTCACTGGAGCAGTTTTGGGATGCTACTAACAGCCATAAAGGCAATGGTAAGTTAAATAATTATTCAATACAACCTTGAAATACATTTCTATAACATCATATCATTTTATTCAATATCAAACCCGGACTTTTTGACGCAGATATTGATGAGATAACTATTTCTATAACTATCATATTTTAAAATAAACTCATATATTAAATAAATAATAGTTTTAAAAAACTAACAAAATACGCTTTTATAGAAAATCCAACTAAAAAAAATAAGAAATAAATTTTATAAATTTGAATTAAAAATAGTGTAAGATAAAATGATTTTTTTGTTAAAAGGCGTTTTTTTTTAAACTATTATTTATTTTTTAGTTGAATTTCAATTTTTTCAACATTTTTTTTCATAATATTTTCTTAACATTGAATTGTCATCGGTCCTTAATAAGTATACCAAATTTCGAGTTAATCCGACTTTTGAAGGGGGTCAAAATCATGTTCAAATATTCCGTTACATACATACATCTGAAGCTAATAAATGCGTATTAAAAACAATCAACAACGAATTACAGAACCGACTGAATTGAGAAGATGGATAACGGAAGCCAGAAAACATTATTTGGAGGTCAATAATGACTATTGTTTGTCAGTTGAACAGTTGAATGAAAGGATCAAGTCATGGGGCGGGGAACTGCAGCCAGAGATCAAGGTTAAAGAATTTATGAATAGCAAGAAGAGTTATGAAGTTAGTCATTGTTTTTCTTATTCTATATTTGTTAAGTTGAGATGTATTATAATATCGACGCTTGAAAGGCAAACGTGACTAAGCGACAATAACTGCTTTATACATAAATGATAGGCAATAACCATATTCAATACGCAAAAAAAAATTATTTCTAGGTCTATTAAAATCATTTCAATCCTACAGCTAGATTCGTTAAAATATAGTTTTTTCAGGTATTTCTACTTTAAACTCTTAAATTAATCTACTGTAAACTTCACGCATTGTCGCTTAGTCATGTTTGCCTTTCAAGCGTCGATATGATTCAAAATATATTTTTTTTGTACTATTATGATATGGTTAAATAAGTTCATAGCCTACCTGATATGAATTAACGACTGGAGTCTATATACAAATATGAATGCCATCTTCCTTGAGATTGAGGTTGAAATATCAACTATATTGTACACTAGCTCAGTACACACATGCACACACACGCGCGCACGCACACACGCACACACACACGCACACGCACACACACATCCACACGCACACACTCGCAAACACACACGCACACACACTCCCAAACACACTCGCAAACACACGCCCACACACATACGCCC